CGTAACAGTAGAACGAGCGAGAAGCAGCATCAGCCGGTGGTTTCCCGCCTGCTCGAAGCAGGCCGGCTGTTAAATAGAAAATGGTAGAATTAGGAGACTATCATTTGTGGCGGAAAGGGTTGGGTCGAGAAACTTGTTTGTCCAAGACTATTGTGTTGAAGGGAAAGAGTGTCGAAAGTAATTCTTCTTGTCGGTTCTTTATATATCGATTGCAATCGGTGGCTTGTGATTACGTATCTCTGCTTATTAATTAAATTTGCTCAGTGATTCGTTGATTGATCTCTTCTTGATCTCGACTCAGGCCCTGCATTACGATCGAGTGGGTGCAGGGGACGTGGCACGTGGTGTGTAACCCATGACCAGGGCGACCCTACTTTTCGATCCGTTGACCCTTGTCAACATGCATTAAATGTATGAGTTATCTATCTATTCGCGTAATAATGTGTCTAAAATATAATCAAAATGCAGAAAGCAGGTACACATACGCCATTTAGTAATATAGATTTGCTATAAAAAAATTCCCTTAAAAGAGATTTGAAAAAATGTTTTTTATTGCTATTTTTACATAAAAATTTCATGTAAATTATTTTAAAGAACTAGTTCACCATGTTTTTTCATATGACTTTCAACTAAATAAACATGACAAAGACATTGTATAAAAAATTATGAACAATGAGGAAGTAGTGTTAACTATTTTTATTATGTATTAATTCTATATCATTTTTTGGCTTAAAATCGAATTACGCGTGAAAAAAAAGAAACTACTATAAAATTTGCATTTTTTTTTTATCAAAAATCGATAAACAATGAAAGAGAGGGTAATGGTCATATGGATTTCGAGAAATTAAAGTTACGACCATACGACGCAATGGGATTATATGAAACGATTGGATTATATGAAACGATGGGATCATACGATTTTGTCTTAACTATGACCGTAACCTGTCATATGTAGTAAACTTTTACTGTATCAATGGCTTGCATAAAACGTCCAATGTAGCACAAAACTTAGGCGTTATTACATTTTTCAGGTTCAGCAATTACACGACAGTCTAAAATTTCCGAAAATGGCAGTGTTATGGTTACGCAGAATTATGCAGATGATGCAGATAATGAAGATAAAAATAAAGATAATTGAAGATAAAAATGGTGCAAATAATGAAGATAAAAATGGTATAAAATTATGTAGATAATGAAGATAAAAATGATGCAAAGAATGAAGATAAAAATGTTGCAAAGAATGAAGATAAAAACAACCCACAAAAATAAATAAATCTATTTTGGTGCACCAACAAAAATGTCGGTCTACAATGTTACATGTAACACCAGTAAAGCCAGGCCCAAATCTCCTAATATTAAAGCTAATCAGATACTGTAAATAATTCTAATACAATTAACCCTCCGTAAATGCACCCCTTGGGCTTATAGACAAAAATTTTAAAAATGTGCATTTATGATGGGTGATTACTTATGGAGGTCATTTTATTAGATCACTATGTGCTTGGGACTGAAGATTAATGTGCATTTAGAAGGGGTATACTTAGTGCAAAAATTTATAGAGGAAGCATTTATAGAGAGTTGACTGTATTAAAAGTATACTATCATAGTGTGGTAGTTTATGATTGGCTTACTGTATAAGATATTTTTGTCAAAGAACGTTTATAATTATAAAAGATTTTAAACGGTACAACTTTGTTTTTTTTTTTTACTAAGTAAATTAAATTTTATAACTTCTGAACAATATATTCAATTATGTGACTTGAAAATTATGATGGCAGATTTTTAAGTAAACTATCTACGGTGGTTATTACATTTGTATCATTCTGTTATTGTTGTAAAACGTGGCTATCCAAATAACATGTACCTACGTACATATAAGTCTATGCATTATAAAGAACTATATAAGGTAAAAAAACAAAACCATTTAGGAATATGGAATAGGAACTAAGGAATGTACATTTGAGTAATACAAAATACGTATCACTTTGAATTCTGGTTATCGGCTTTGGCAAGATCTATTTTGAGAAAAATAATGATGTGTGCTGGTTACACACTTGAAGAACAAGGAGCCGGTGATCATCACATCACGTGAAATAATTGGCTGGCACCGAACTAATCGGCCTAAACTATACTATCACCTAACCCTAATACTATCTCTAACTTAGGCCGAGCGATTAATAATATGATGTAACGATCATCTGATTCCTTCCAAACTTCCCATTTTCAATTTGATTATAATCGATTAAAATCTTAAAATCTTAAGAATTTCGAGATTATGATTGATTTATCGCCCATTTCAAATTAGTGTGGCCTCCATTGATCATCTCTCACTTCGAAAATCGACTATCTAATTTTAGCACTTTTTTGCGAATAAATCTAATTATTTTTGCTTAAAAATAAAAATTTCCCTGATTTCTTTTTTATTCTTGTTTTTATATAAATATTGTATCTAACTATAACAAAAACTGGTTGAGATTTGGCTAAATAAATTTGGAAATTTCGGGTCTTTTTACTACTGATCATAAAATATGTCTACTTTCAATTATAAATTATAAAATTTTACTAGAAATTTCGAAAATACTCTCTGAAAATCGAAACTGACCATGTTCATATTGGCAAATCTTTGCTCAAAATTTGAAAAATTCATTTACAATTAAGAATTTGAAAATCCTGAGTATAAAATTGCAGTTGTTTTCAAAACAATTTCCATATCCTTAAGGACGGATCGGTCTTCATAAAGACAGAGACCGGACGGTAAAAAACCGAGGACCGAAATGATTCTCAGTTCCTGTTCCGTAATCGTCCGATCCTGACTATGGTCTGACGATAAATTACACTTACTGATAAAAAAGTGATAAATTATTATAAATAAAAATAAATCATAAAAAATAATAGAATTTTTATAGTTCTTTCAATCATAAACAAAAACTTCCCAGTTCCTCCCATTTCTTCTATTTCATCTGCTTCTACATCATCGACAAATAAACAATCAGGTAGCCTACTAAATGAATTAAAAAAAATATTTACTACTACAATTCAAATCCGTTGATATGGTGGCAGTGTAAACAGATACACTACTCTAAGCTTGGTCGCAAGAGATAGCTTCAAAAAAATTAGATGATTAAGTATCTATGAATTTAATATTAGTATTAAATTGGCTTTGTGCATGAATTTGCAAGTGAGATAGTTAAATATCCATGTATTTAATTCTTAATATCAAATTAGCTTCGCGTATGAATTTGCAAATTAGATAGTTAAATATCTATGTATTTAATTCATAATATTAAGTTAACCTCGCGTATAAAATCGGGATGGACCGATCCATTCTTACATATACCTATTGTGGCTAGGGATGGGCAATGTAATTTTTTATGTAATCGATATGTATTTTTTAGGCCTTACATATTTTATGAATTATTACATATTATTACATAATTTTTAAGAGTAATAGATCACTTGATAAAATTGTGAGGAACGAACATGAGGACGTACCAACGTGAGCTTGTACATCATTAAGAGTGTTCAAAAAACAAAGTTAATGATTAATGACATAATTTCTCATTATTACCTATTGCAACAAAATCTTAAATAAGAATACATAAGAAATATGTAAAAAATTTGCCCATCCCTAATTGTGGCTAATTAATAAATTTTGAATGTCAGATTATCACTGACTTTGAAAGTCCTGGAATCTGGGAAAATTCGTGAATTTCTCAATATATCGTAATCTGCGTCTGTTCACACCTTTTTTGAAAATGGCTATAATATGAGGCACCCCATATGATGGATAGGAAATCTAGAATATTCGAAATTTTTTTTTCCAATATCGTTATCACGAAAGTCGTGGGATCGTTGATTATTATCAATTTAATTTATTGGGTTGGCCTCTGCCGATCATCGTAAAATCACGGAAATTGGCGATTTTTTGATTCTAAGGAAATTTCAAAATAATTATAAACATTACTGATTGAATAAACAGGAGGAAACGTATCCGATCCAAACTGTGAGGAATTATAGTTGTAATATTGGCGTTAAGTGACCTATCATTGTGAAATAATTTTTTTATGTTGTGCACACCAAGTATGTGATTAGATTTGGATCGGGTACGTTTCCTCCAGTTGATTGAATATATTATATATATTATTGATAGACTCTAAATTTCTCACTAATGTTATCGCGAAAATCGTTGGGTCACACCATTTGCAAATCGATTATCAACACTACTACGATGATAATCATTATAATAGGCTTCTGCTAAAGAACTAATTATAATAAGGTTTCAAAATTTCCTGATGTACTTGCGTACGTGTATTCGCTCAACAATGCATGTTTCAAATAATCATAAATGGGCGCTATTGGCGTTATTGGCGTTATTGCATACTAGAAAATAACTAAAGGTTTATGTTAACAAGATCCATGTGATAGAAGAAGGTTTTAATTACTGGGTTAATCAATATATTTGATCTAACTACAATAGAAAATGTTTTTAATTTATTAAATTTTAAATTTAAATAAAGACTACTAAATAAGTTATAGTGTCTTCGAGGAAAAGGAACATCACCTATCGACCTAAAGTAGTTTATTTGGCATTTAAATTCTGAGAAGCACGGTTGTTTTAGATTCTTTTGCAACCTCATTTTCGAAAAGTCGTTTATTTCCAAATTTATACAATACAGTAGATTATAAATAGAATTTAAATTAAGAGTGTTCTCAAGCGACTTTCTCAATAAGGATAGAGTTATTGTCGCTCAATCATTCGATAAATTTAAGTAATCATTGTTTGAAATGCAGTTCCTAGATTTCAGCCAAAGTACCCAATACAAGGGAAATTAAAAAAATATTATACTGTATATAGATATGTATGTACTCAAATCTCATGTTGTAAGCGTGTAACATCACATCCCTATATTCCCAGATTTGGAAAGCTTCGAACTTTCAAATAAATTACTGAAAATACTTACTTACATTTGATATTGCGCATACATACCGCCTACCAAAATTATCGCATGATACACATTGTAATTTGCTACCATATAGGTTGTAATCAATGACATCTTAACAATATTTGAAAACGCCAAATAACTCATATTCAAAATTCGGCAATACTGACGCGTAAGGTTTAATTAAAAATTGGTGAAAAAAAAAAGAAAAAGGGAAACTATTTTATATCTCAATCATAATCCTTAATTAAGGAATAAAAAGGATTTATACATCTCTAATATAAAAATTTCTTTATATAAATGGCCTTCTAAACTTCTTCAACTCTACTCAAATTGTTTCATTTAACATAAAATAAATTCTTTTCTACGATTAAATTCAAATTTTATTAATCTCAAATCCTTATTTATCTACGATTAATTTTACAAATAAATCATGAAGTTCAATTTCGCTGCCGTATTTTCAACCCTACTTATTGCCAACACATTGGCAGCTCCATTGTCACGAGGTATTAATTTTCAAATATTTAAATGTCGTTCAATTTCCTGACGGTCATTTTATTAGGTGTTGTTATTTTTTATTAGTGAATTTTCACTTGGTTTGATGTCTGTTAAATGGCCTGTCAGGGAAATGTCCATCGAGAAATCTATATGTTAATTTAAAATTTCATTATACTTATTATGATCTCATATTTATTATTTGTTCTATAGCACTTACTAAAGATAAAGAAATGAAAATGGAAACGAATTCTGTTGTATGGGGCACGAAAAGGGAAGCCAAAGCTATTGAAGAGAGTGCAAGAAGTTCTAAAGATATAAAGTACATTGCTGCTATATCACAGGATGCTGCTTCTAAGAAAAGAGCTGTTACTGGCGTGAAGGAAGTTTTTTATAATCCAAAGGATGAAGCTATGGAGAAAAGAGCCGTTACTGGTTTGAAGGAAGTTACTGGTGTGAAGGAAGTTTTTGATAATCCAAAGGATGAAGCTATGGAGAAAAGAGCCGTTACTGGTTTGAAGGAAGTTACTGGTGTGAGGAAAGTTTCTGCTGAATCAAAGGATGCTGCTCTTAAGAAAAGAGCCATTACTGGTGTGAAGGAAGTTACTGGTGTGAGGAAAGTTTCTGCTGAATCAAAGGATGCTGCTCTTAAGGAAAGAGCCATTACTGGTGTGAAGGAAGTTACTGGTGTGAAGAAAGTTTCTGCTGAATTAAAGGATGCTGCTCTTGAGAAAAGAGCCGTTACTGGTATGAAGGAAGTTACTGGTGTGAAGAAAGTTTCTGCTGAATTAAAGGGTGCTGCTCTTAAGAAAAGAGCCGTTACTGGTTTGAAGGAAGTTACTGGTGTGAAGAAAGTTTCTGCTGAATTAAAGGGTGCTACTCTTAAGGAAAGAGCTGCTCCTGCGAATGACCTTTTTATTAAATCAAAGGATGCTGCTCTTAAGGAAAGAGCTGCTCCTGCGAAGGACAGTTCTCATACGCCAGAGCGTTATCAAGAATTCGAAAAGACTTTTTAAAGATAAGAAGAGGGATTCTATTACTTTAGAAGAAAAGAAAAGAGGACACGAACACCAAAAATGCAAGAAAGTTGATTGTGAATAAGGAAAAAATTGATCATAAAGATTAGTTAGAAAAATTTATCGAAAAATATTGTTAAATAAGAAACTTTTCAAATATTTCTTTCATCTTAATTAACATTGATTTGAAAGGTAATAAAATATATATTAAATAATAGTTGATAATCGTGTAAAAAGGTTTATTGTATTATTAGACTGATAAATGTTATAAATTATTTGTTATCTTTTATAGTATTATTAAACTGATAAATGTTACAAGTTATCTGTTATATTTTATATAATAAACTAGTATGTTGGGTGCGCGAAGTGTACCTAACTTATTCAGTAAATTTATAATAACGATTAATAAATCCTTTTAAGTAATATTGTATATGTCTGATAAATAATTTTTATATTCTAAGATTCGTGTATTTAAAAATTAGTGTTTAACTATAATAAATTTCTCATTAAATTTATAAACTCATAATTATTGAAATTATTAACCATTTGCCGTTAAAGTTATAAACCTACTAGCTATTGATATTATAAATATAACTATTATTGAAATCACAAATTTAACGAATATTAACCATAGTTTAAATCAAGAACCTAACTACTGTCAAAGTTACAAACCTAATGACTGTTTAAGTTATGAACCTAATTAATATTAAAATTACTATTAAAATTACGATTTACTATTGTTGAAGTCATCTAACCACTATTAAAGTCATCTAATTATTGCTGAAGTTATGTAATTACAATTTAAGTTACGGACTTAATTACTATTAAAGTCATCTAATTATTGCTGAAGTTATGTAATTACAATTTAAATTACGGACTTAATTACTATTAAAGTCATCTAATTATTGCTGAAATTATGTAATTACAATTTAAGTTACGGACTTAATTACTATTGAAGTCCCGACTTGATTACTATTGAAAACATGAACCTAGCTATTATTAAAATTGTGAATTTAACTAATGTCGAAGTCACGAACCTAGCTACTACTGAAACATAACCACTATTGAAGTTACAAACATATTTACTACTGAAGTTACAAACTAACTACTATTGAAGTTATAAATCTAACAACTATTGAGGTTACAAGCCTAACTGCTGTCAAAGGTACAAATCTAATTACTGTTGAAGTTACAAATCTACTATGGAAAACCTAACCATTGTCAAAGTCATGATCCTAATCATTGTTAAAGTTATAAATTAAATACTATTAAAGACGTAAATCAAACTATTGTTAAAGTTATAAATTAAATACTGTTAAAGACGTAAATCAAACTATTGTTAAAGTTACAAACCAAACTACTGTTTTGAGTTATGAAACTAGCTATTGTTAAAATTATGAACTTAACTATCATTAAAATCAAAAATCAAAAATCAAACCATTGTTAAAGTTACAAAACTAATTAATATTAAAGTTAGGAATCAAATCTTTGTTGATATTATAAATTTAATCATTATCAAAATTATTAATCTATTTATTGTTAAGTTATAAACATGACTACCATTTAAATTATAAACCAAATTATTGTTAGAATTATAAATCTACACAGGTCAAATGAATTAATAAAGAGTGAATAATAGGTAAATAATAGAAAAAAAATCTACCATTATTCTACCTTATTTCTGCCAAATAATGGCAGCATAACAGCAAAATAACAGTAAAATAACAGGAGATTTGTAAATATAAGTAGCATAATAGTAATATAATAGCAAAATAATAGAACAGTTCTATTATTTTACTTTTAATTACAAAAACTAAAAGTAAAATAATAAAACTGTTCTATTATTTTACTATTTTGTTACTATTATGGTACTCATATTGACAAACCTTCTATTATTTTACTGTTATTCTGTTGTTATGTTGCTGTTATGCTGTCATTATTTGATAGATATAGAGTAGAATAATGGTAGATTTTTTTTTATTATTTATCTATTATTCATTCTTTATTCATTTATTTGACTTATACTAATTATAATAAAGTTCTAAATAATAAATTATTATTGAATTTATAAATCAAATCATTGTTAAAATTATAAGTTTATTTATTAAAATTATAAATAAAATTACTATTAGAATTATAAATCAAATTACTACAGTATTGGACAGTAAAAGACATCCAATGTTTATTAATAAAAACTTTGAAGTGTTATAACTTTTTTAAAACAGGTTAAATCAAA